GGTGATTCCCTAGGTGTATGTATGATGTACACATCTTTTTTTGTAACGGCAAAAGTTTGGCTTATGTGTACGTTTTCTCGTCATTGTTCTTCCCTTTCTTTTTTTGACTAATAAGTAACAACATGATAATACCGTATTTTTGTTTTGTGTTGCTATTAAGTTGTCTAACTGTAAGACTTGTAAAATATCAAATTATTATGCATATTGTCTGTCGATCTGAATTAACGTTTAAGTAATCTGAAATAGGGCTGACGTAGAATATAAGTAGTGTTACACGCATCATTATTCTAACGATCGAATGGGCATTCTGCATTTCCCAGAGCCACATCGGTAGTTGTCTCTCGTGAACGAAATCGCGACATCGGCACTAGTTATGTGAAGCTTCCTTCGAGTCGATCTTGTAACCGACAAGGCTTTCTTGATGTTGATGTCATCATTCAGTGTGAAAAAGATTGCTGCCCACAAACCCAACATATGTCATTGAGCATGTTGCATATGCAAGTGCAGTTGACCTCTTAGACACACACCAGTTCATTAAGAAGTTGTGATAATTTTTTACTTTTTACCTAGTATAAATTGTAATAAAAACATCATCGTCGAAAAGGCAAAATTATGCTATTTTTGGTAGGCAAATAAGCTACTCATAGCTTGTTTGGTTAACTTATAAACTTCATGTATTTAAATAAGTCTCGTTTGGTGGGACGAAATTTTTTACCTTATCTTATAAATTTTTTTTAGGTAGCTTTTCAAATAAGCTCGTCGAAATTCTTGTTTAAGCTAGCATATCAGTTAATTTACCAAACACTTCTATCATATAAGCTAGTGTTTGAGCTACAAGTCATAAGCTATAATCTATAAGCTCGAAAATTACTGATAAGCTATAAGCTATTATAGTTTATTTGGTTAGCTTATAAGCTTCTTGTATTTAAATAAGTTTCGTTTGATAGGACGAGTTTTTTTAAAGAAGCTCGAACTTATCTCATAAGCTTATTTGGGTAGCTTTTCAAATAAACTCGTCGAAATTTTTATTTCAGCTAGCTTATCAACTAATTTTACAGAATATTTTTATAATATAAGTTATTTTTTCAGCTATAAGTTGCAATCTATAAGCTATAAGCTCGAAAATTTTAGAATTGGGCACAGAAAAAGACTACACATGTCTTGGGCTATAAAAATTAATGAACCACCTAGCGAAGGCCTTAAACTACATGGGCCGAAGCCCATTCCCCTTATCAACCCATTTCTAAATTGGCTAACTCCACCGCAAGCCCAAATCGATGTCCTTAAATGTTAGCAACTTCGAAGCCATCATTTGTATCATGTTGAGAGAAGATGACAATATGACACATTAATTAAAAAAACGAGAAAAGTAAACAACACAAGATTTACGTGGTTCGACAATGTGCCTACGTCCACGGCGGGGATCTTTTATTATTCTCAATCGTATCAAATACATCAATACACCATGTATTTATACTAAAACCCTACAAAATATAAATTTACTTAAATACTCTGTATCGTACCGCGGGGCTCTGCCCCCGCACCCCGTCTATACCATGGGGGCTCCGCCCCCGCACCCCCGGCCCAACTAATCGACCCAGCCCAACAAGGGCTGATGCCTACTCGCTCCACTCCGCTCACTTCGCTCGGTCGCTCCGCTTCCCTCGCTACGTTCGCTCCGTTAGCAGACAACAGCCTGCCCTCTTCCTTTGTCGTCAAAGTCGTACCAACATATCATGATAACAAACAGAGCTCCGAAATCTTTCGGGAGCTTGATCAGGCACAAACATCACACACACTGCGTGTTGAGTACAGAAAGAGTAAGAAACAAATGATCGGGCCGGGTTGACCCATATTCGTGCTGTTCGGATCGTCCATAGTCCAGCAGTGCTTCGAGGTCGGAGGATGGGGAGCTGTTCTCGCCGATCTTTATGACCGCAAGGTAAGCTAATTTAGGCAGCCGCCATTTTTGCCCTCTTTGTTTGGAGCTATAATAAACTGAATATAAGAATAATTCTGAAAGTAGAAGGAACTGAATTGTCTGCCTCTATGATTGATTGCAAATTGGGGTGTGATTGCAAATTGGGATGTTTTCCAAGCCGAGCCGAGTGGTTTGATTCGAGCTCGACTCGTTTGAGCTGGTGAAAGTTCAGCTTGTTTAATAAGCTAAAAATCTTGTATGAGCTGTCTGCAAACAAGCTCCGCTCGGCTTGGCCGGCTTGTTTAATAAACGAGCTCGATTAGTTGTTCACTCTCTGCTTGTTTAAGTACACATATGAGCCTAGCTTGAGCTTTTGTGAGTCGAAACGAGTTGTGTTTGCAAACTGTTCGGTTTGTATAATAGCTCTTAATGCACAGTCATGGTACATACTACTGAATACTGATGAATGGTTTGTAGTTTAATTTTTTCATGTGAAATTAACAAAAAATGAGAATCAAAATTTTTGGTCATACAGGCAGACATAGTATTGCGAGGATATTCTGGCTGGAATTCGAGGCGTGCGCTTCAAGTTTTGGACAAAATTTTCCCAAAGGTATATTTGCTGGTTCATGATTCTCTTGGCCATGAATGTATTGAATTGAACCACCATTATCTTTTTGCCCTTTATTAAAGTTCTTCGAAATAGTGCTTTTGTGTAAGGTACCAAGAACACTTGAGACCCTTTTTTTTTCTGCAAAATCGGAAATTTTCGCTTTTATGTTGATATATTATCCTCCCATTGGTTGCATCTATTTCTTACACGATTTCTTTAACAATTCTTTTTTTTTTTCCTTTTTCAGGATGCAGCTGTCAAGCCTTCTCTGGTTATAGTGTATTTTGGTGGTAATGATGCATTGCATCCTCACCCTAGTGGCCTAGGCGCTCATGTTCCTTTACCTGAATATATAGAAAACATGAAAAAGATTTATCTTCACCTCAAGGTAAAAACTGTGTGTCCACTGTCCGTCTCACTGCCCCATCTTGCTTGAAAAATCTGTGAAAAAGAAAAGGAGTTTACGTAAATAAATTGTTATAGCAGGATATGTAAGCTTATGTCTTTGCTTCAATTCATGAGCTCGATAGAAGAAAAAATAAAAGAAAATGGAGAAAATAATAAGTTTTTTTGTATATTATTAACAAGGAGTTGGTTTAAACTTCTAAAGAGTAAACACCAATACTCGAGAGGATGCTCTGGAATGCCATGGATAAATTTCGAGTCTTCATTAAAAATGACATAATTTATGGTTATGGCTTGGTGGTCTTCGTGTATCCCGTATTAACAGTCATATATATTTTGCACTCAGTTATAAATTGTCTAGCATTGTTGTTCCAGTGAATGATTCTGCTATATACTGTTGGTCCTAGAAGGAGCATCGATTTATATAAAATTGTAATTTAATTTCAGACACTTTAGTGTTCTCAATTTCTAACACTGAGTATTAGCACTAATTGCAGAGTCTCTCGGAGAAGACACGGCTGATTTTTCTCACTTCTCCTCCTGTGAATGAGACAATGATTCGTGAACATTTCGGGTGTTTTGCACTTTAAATCACTACACACACAAGCACATATATTTTAGAGTCTGACCACTGATAAAACTTACTGTCTTCTTTTCTTTTGTATGTTTAAAAACTAGTAATGCACACGATAATCAAGACAGAACAAATGAAACCTGTCGTAAATACGCCGAGGCTTTAGTGGAGTTGTGCCGAAAATTGGACACTAAAGTTATCAACCTCTGGACTGCAGTTCAGCAAAGAGAAAATTGGGCAACAACTTGCTTTAGGTAAGTTTGTGCCTTTTTTTTTTTATATAATTATTATGCTGCACTCCTAATTTTGTTTAAAAACTAAGTTACTGAACAATATAATTTAGCTGTGTTTGGTGAACATATAAGCTAGCTTATAGCTTATTTGATTATCTTATAAGCTTCCTCAATTCAAATAAGATTGGTTTAGTATGACGATTTTTTTTAAAAAGCTCGAGCTTATCTCATAAGCTTTTTTGGATAGTTTTTCAAATAAGTCTATTGAAATTTTTATTTCAGCTAGTTTATCAGCTACTTTTACCAAACACTTTTATCATCGAAGTTGACTTTTCAGTCATAAGTCATAAGCTATCAGCTATAACTATAAGCTCACAATTCACGTAACAGCTATAAGCTAGCTTATCAGTTAGGTTTCAACATGATTTTCGTGGTTAAAAGCAACATTTGTTTAACATTTTACGGTTGTTATATGTAGAGATGGAATTCATTTCTCGGCTGAAGGGAACAAAATAGTGGCGAAGGAGATATTGAGAGTTATAAAAGAGGCTAATTGGGAACCGAGCCTATATTGGGAGTCGATGCCGAACGAATTTGCCGAGGACTCACCATATTACATGGTTCGCCCTAACGGTAAAACCACCAACAACATCTCTTCCGTCATCTCTCATTGGAAATTGAAGTGGATGGTAAATGGCATTAACTCGAAGCTTTGATTTTTTATGTTGGACTTCAGTTCGAGTCCCAGCCAAACTATTGTATCCTTGAATATATATTGCTTTAATTGTACGGTGAATTTGTCCCAAGGATTTCGAGTAAAAGTAAAATGTTACGTCAAAGGTTATTGGTTTTGAATTAGACTACCATTAGAGGAAAATATGCATGAAACAATTCGACATTTTCTCTGCATGCATTAAACATAAGTTTCCGAACATGCTGAACTTTTGGGCGAAGGCTACAGTCCCAAACAGTATGGTTCCTTCGGTGTTTTTAACCGTAAATATATCTACACATCACAAATCTACATTTGTATCTACGGTTAAAAACACCGACGGAACCATACTTTAACGGGACTATAGTCTTTCCCGAACTTTTGAATTTATTTCTTGGTTTTGTGGCTACATGAAGATTTTCTCGACCATATTTCCATGTCAATATCCGCCTCAACAGCGAATATTTATGCCTGTGGATTATATTTTATAGTCTGCTATATGTCTTTGTTGTTGATTTTTTCAAAAAATTGTGTTGGATTGGTCTAATTTCGGCTCATGCTTTGTTTATACTTCATATTGAAGTCATACTGCTTGTAAGAATTTGTGTTGGATTGGTCTAATTTCTCCGGTGGGAGCGATTCTAGTTGTCGGTTGTGTTTGAGTCAATTTTTATTCTAGCTTGGCTAGTTGAGGTTCTAGGCGGTCTTCTGACCTGTATTCTCAGTTTTTAGTTGGTAACTGTCTTATTCAGCTTAATCAGCTATGAGTTGTATTTGCACATTTGTGCGTTTTGATTATAATATATATATCGTTTCGGAAAAAAAAAAAAGAGTCTTTCACTCTCACCTAACCCTATTTTTGTCAAAAAAAAAAAAAAAAAAATGTATTTCACCTAATTGATTAGGTATGCTCATCTCAAATAGTCTTCAAAAGTTGGTGGTGACAGTTTCTGATATTGTGTTTAGTTTTCATTTGATTTTGATGATAATAAGTTTAAATTCAATTAAACTTTTTAGTTTGTATTTTTCTGTTGATTGCTGTGTCTCGTTATTTTATTTTTCTGTATAATCATATTATTTAATTACATGTTATGTTTGTATATATTGTTGTGCAAGTCATTGCTACCAAGTTAAGATTGTTACTGAATTAAGCTGTTTTAGTTGCTGTACATATTCAACTCAACAAGGAAATGACATAATCCGGAGAAACAAACACTTATTCAAAAAAAAAAAAAAA